TTTGCAGCAGCCCCATAAAGACATTTTTATAACAATCTTAAGGAACAATCTTTTATTCAATGGCTGCCTCACTCAAAGAGATGACTTCTGACTTTGTAAAATTAGAGAAATTCGATGGAGGCAATTTTATTCGTTGGCAGAAAAAAATGAAATTCCTTCTCACAACATTGAAAGTGGTGTATGTCCTTAACATTCTCAAACCAGAAGAAAAAGAAAATGAAACTGTTGCTGAAACTAGAGAGAGAGACAAAAGTGGGACAATGATGATTATATATGCATGAGACACATCCTCAACGGCATGTGTGATTCGTTGTTTGACATTTATCAGAGCAGTAACTCCGTAAAAGAATTATGGGAGAAATTGGAATCAAGATACATGCAAGAAGACGCTACAAGTGGTAGGAAATACTTTGTCACTTTCATTGATGATTGCACTAGATTTTGTTATGTTTATTTAATGCACTCTAAGGATGAAGTCTTAGACAAATTCAAAATTTTTAAAGCACAAGTAGAACTTCAACATGAAACTTTTATTAAATGTTTTAGGAGTGATAGAGGAGGAGAGTTCTATCATCCTAATTATTTTGAGTCCACTGGTATTATACATCAAATAACTGCACCCTATTCCCCACAACAAAATGGGATAGCAGAAAGGAAAAATAGGGTGTTAGAAGAAATGGTAAATGCCATGTTATCCTATTCTGGTTTATCTAAAGGTTATTGGGGTGAAGCCATGCTAACTGCATGTTATATATTGAATATAGTTCCTAATAAAAGGAACAAGATAACCCCATATGAACTCTGGAAGAAAATAAAACCGAATCTCAAATATTTAAATGTTTGGGGTTGTAGAGCAATTGTAAAGGTGCCTGAACCAAAAAGAAAGAAATTGGGAGAAAGAGGAATTGAATGTGTATTTCTGGGCTATGCTGAAAATAGCAAAGCATATAGATTCATGGTTATTGAATCTAATGACTCATATCCTATTAATACCGTGATTGAATCACGAGATGCAATTTTTCAAGAAAGTAGATTTACCTCAATTCAAAATTGCAAAGACAATGTTCATTATGATGTTCAAAGTCTAGAAAGTAATGTATCAAATAATGATATGTTGGGACGTTCAGAACCTAGAAGAAGTAAAAGAATACGAAAAGTAAAAAACTATGGATCAGACTTCTTCATGTTTCTTGTAGAAGGAAATAATAATTCCATAAATCGTTATGGACCAATTTGCTATAACCTAGAGAATGATCCAGAAACATTTGAAGAGGCAATAAAATCTCAAGATTCGGCTTTTTGGAAAGAAGCCATCCAAGAGGAAATGGACTCAATTATGGGTAATAAAACCTGGAAACTAGTAGATCTTCCACCAGGATCTAAACCAATAGGTTGTAAATGGATCTTTAAAAGGAAAATGAAAGTTGATGGTACCATTGAAAAATTCAAAGCTAGACTTGTCGCTAAAGGATTTACACAAAAAGAAGGAATTGATTATTTTGATACTTATGCACTTGTTGCAAGAATTGCATCAATTAGAGTGCTTTTAGCACTCGCCTCCATCTATAAATTTGTCATTCATCAAATGGATGTCAAAACTGCTTTCCTAAATGGAGAATTAGATGAAGAGGTGTATATGAAACAACCCGAAGGGTTTTTTTATCAAAGGCCAAGAACATAAAGTGTGTAAATTAACTAAGTCTTTATATGGGTTAAAACAAGCACCCAAACAATGGCATCAAAAATTTGATCAAGTTATGTTGGCCAATGGATACAAAATAAATGAATCTGACAAATGTATTTATAGTAAATTTAACAATGAAAAAGGGGTTATGATTTGTTTATATGTGGATGATATGTTAATCTTTGGTACTGAATTAAAAGAGGTAGAAAAGACTAAAGCTTTCTTATCCAAAATTTTTGATATGAAAGACTTATGTGAAGCAGATGTGATTTTAGGAATTAAAATCATAAGAGATGGTGAACATATTGGTTTATCCCAGTCTCACTATATCGAAAAGGTGCTTAAGAAATTTGATCATTTCGATTGCAAATCCGTTTCTACTCCATTTGATCAAAATGTTAATTTGCAACCACATAAAGGGTGTCCGGTGGCACAACTTGAATATTCAAAGGTTATCGGATGCTTGATGTATGCTATGACATGTACTAGACCTGATATAGCTTATGTTGTTGGTAGATTAAGTCGGTATACAAGTAATCCAAGTATAGACCATTGACATGCTATTAATAGAGTATTAAAATACTTGAAAGGGACGATTAACTATACTCTAACTTATAGTGGATATCCTTCGGTTTTAGAAGGATATACAGATGCCAGTTGGGTAACATATGTGGAAGATCACGCCTCCACTAGTGGGTGGATCTTTAATCTTGGTGGAGGTGCAGTTTCTTGGGGTTCAAAGAAACAGACTTGCATTGCCGACTCCATCATGACTGCAGAATTCATTGCTTTGGCTGCAGGTAGTAAAGAGGCAGAATGGCTAAGAAACTTGTTGTATGAGATACCTATTTGGCCAAAGCCAATAGCACCTGTGTCCATACATTGTGATAGTCAATCCACACTATCCAAAGCATATAGCCAAGTATATAATGGAAAATCTAGACATATTGGTATAAGACATAGCTATGTGAAAGATTTAATTTTAAATGGAGTAATCTCCATAGTGTACGTAAGAACTAAAAATAATCTTGCAGATCCTTTGACGAAAGGTCTGACAAAAGACATGGTGTTGAAAACATCATTGGGGATGGGTCTCAAGCTCATATCTAATTGATCACCAATAGTGGAAACTCAACTCACACTTGATAAAAATCAAGTCTTGAGTTCAATGATGAAAGTACATTATTAGAGTGATTGAAGTACTTAACAATAGAGACACCTCAAGGGGCAAAAAGTACTTAGACCATAAAAGGTGAAGTGATAGAATGCGATTATTCTCTTAATAGATATATAGCACATATTTGCTGAAATGTTTATTATGGTAGCATTTCCGATATAGTCTACCTATATGAGAATGAAGTGGGCCGCTTCATAGAGTTCAAGGGCTTGACTCTTAAAGTCTCATGAAAAGGATACATGACACATGGCCTTATCAAATGTGTCATTTTTACAATTCTTTTGATAGTATCGAGATTTCATGTGTAAGTGTTGCACACTTGTTCTAATGACTAGTTGGTTCAAAGCTTGTCTACCAATGTCTGTTCGGGATGAGTGAAACCCATAACTTACTAAGTATTGGTTCAAATCGTAAGATACCAATATCTGAAATCATGATATTTCTAGAATTATGATATTTAGTTATTTTGAAAATGGTGGGGGATTGTAAGAGAATTTCCAAAATAATATTAAATTAAATGATTGTATTATTTGAATTAATAATATAAATATTATATTCAGATATATATATTATTTAAATTAAATGATTGTTGGTATAATGTGCCGGGTCAATTGATTACCTATTAATTAGGAACAATTGCAATTTATAAGCAAACCATTGCTATTTCTATGCAAAACGTTGTTACTGATACGTTGTTATCAAAAGGTGCAATTCCCTTTCATGGAGAAGCATCTGTTCCCAAACAGATTGTAGTCTCACTATAAATTGAATGTTTATTGGCACAATGAAGAAGATCAAGAATAATCAGTCTCAAATCATTTTCTCATACTAAATCATCTTTCTCTTCTCTAATGCATGAGAGCAAGAAAAATAATTATTCTTCTGTAAAATACTATTAAAGATACGCTTAGAGAGATTGTGCAATTCTCTTTAAGGATTCCAAAGTATCATACATGAAATTTACCGGTAAACCCTTTTGCATCTAACATAGAAAGATTGGTGGGGACGAATTGTTCCTTAAACTTACTGTAGAAACATACGCTTTGGAATTTTCTCAAATAAATTTATTTCTCTATTTTTCATCTTCATTCATTTTCACTTTTGTAGCAGCCTCATAAAGACATTTTTATAACAAGACATGCTACTCTACATGGTATTAAATTTGCATAATTGAGAAATGACATCATAAAATATCTATAACCATTAATATTATACCTAAATAAAATCTCTAAGAAACTTGAGACAACTCTTGTAAAAAGAGTATGAAAAGAAATTTAAACTTTATTTAACCCAACTCACTTTGTCCGGTTATAACTGTTTATTTAGGTGATGACGAACTAATTAGTAGTGGAGAGATGAAAACTCAAAGCATATTTGTAAAAAAATAAAATCAATTAGTTATATAACTAACTTCGTATCAAATAAAAACATTTCTAGTCCTGTTTCATAATATCTCATTTATATTTTTTTGTCTTAAAATAATTGTTTATTTATAATTATAATATATTATATGTTATTATTTTTTCATTATTATATTTTTATTTATTTACTTTCATTTTATTTAATTAATTTATTAATTATAATTAATAAGAGTACCCCAATAAATAATATTAACTTTTTAATTAAAACTAACTCATCTAATTATTTTAAAAAAATCATATATTGCTCAAATAAGATACAGTATTTATTATGAGACGAAAAAAATACTTTTTAAATTTTCATTTTTAAAATATTGTTCTAAAGAAAGTGAAATCTAAACTACTTAAATCACGGCCGGTTTTCAGTTAAATTAAAAAAACAAAAACAAAAACAAAAACAAAAAAAACTCACGGACAATATCCAATCACACATGGTAGAAAAAAGTAACACATTCCATGTGCTAAAAACAGAGAATCTTAACATCATTGACCTACAAATGTGGACATTTAGTACAACCCAAGCAATCAAAATCATCACAAAAAATAAAACCAATAACCGTTTCAATTAAATAACAACGATAATAGAACATGGACGCCACTAAATGCAACCTAAAACAGTTGACATTGCACACTTTCACTCATTTCAAACCTCCCAACATTTTCATTATTTATAGAGTCCCTACTCACACATTCTTTCTCACAACAAAAAAACATCCTCAAAATGAATCTTAGGTGTTTCACTTTCGCTATGTTAATGTTCCTTATCGCATTCACTTTCCATGCCAGCGCCAGTTATATTCCAAACAATAAGCATTCCAATTATAGAAGCTTCCCGAACCAGTTTCTGATTCCTCAGAACATAGCTCGGGCCGCGGTGGGGTTACATCCCTTATCATGGGATGAAAAGCTAACACACTACGCGCAATCGTACGCCAACCAACGGCGTAACGACTGCGTGTTGGAGCATTCTAATGGACCGTACGGCGAGAACATTTTTTGGGGGAGTGGAATTGGATGGAATCCAGCACAAGCAGTGAGTGCTTGGGTTGATGAAAAACAGTATTACAATTACTGGCATAATTCTTGCGTTGAAGGAGAAATGTGTGGACATTATACACAGGTTGTTTGGGGTGCTACAACCAAAGTTGGATGTGCTAGTGTTGTTTGTTCTCAAGGTAAAGGTACTTTTATGACATGTAACTATGATCCTCCTGGGAATTACTATGGAGAGAGACCTTATTGAAAGGAAATGATTGTTAGAGATAAACAATTGAGACAAATACAGCTCAATAATGTTGTTGCTGTTGTCATATTAGTAGAATTCTAGGCTTATCTTGTTTGTCTGATGCTCTGTTTGACATGTGGTGTTATTGGTTGTAAATTGTCTCTTGTGTTCAATTGCTGTTTCTCTTGCTTGCTTAATGGAGTATGGGTAATTATTAATGTACTTGAATGTGTCTGGTTTTTTCAGTCTGACAATTTTTCTTTTCTCTTCAATTTGGTAGAGGAGAGTAAATATTGCAATGAAATAGTTTAAATTAATGTTTTAAAGATTTGACCGGAGACCAAACCGATAAATTTTTTAGTTTAAAATTCAAGTGGTTTAACCGATTAAATATATTATCAAACTATTTTTTTAATTAATTAATAATATGAAATTAAATTTTAGATAATGTTAACACAATTATATGTTCACAACATAATAAAATAAATATTCTAAAATAGAGTATAATACCTAAAATATGTTCACTTTCACTCATTTCAACAATTATAATAGAGTATAATATCTAAAATAAAGTTTAAATAATTAAGAATATCTAAATAAAATAAGATAGAATTATAAAAAATGAACACTACAATATACTTAATTGAACAACATTAAGCAAATTCGAGTGGAAAGACGATAAATAAGTCATAATAGGATAACGATAAACAATATTGAATTGAACGACAACTAATATTGAGTAGGACAATGTGACTATATTTGAAAGAGACGATATGACGTTGATAGAGTGTGGTTGAAAGAAAAACTATAACAGAGTGATAAAACTTAAAAATTTGTATGCTTGTAGAAAAAACAAGAAATTATTTTTTTTTGTGAATGGAGAATATTTTAGGTTTTGATATTGACATATTAAACTTTAAAAAAATTTAAAAAAATGATAAATTTGATGTATTTTTTTAACTGAACGATTTTAATAAATCGGCTCCGGTTCTTTCGTTCGAACGATTTTGGACTGCTCAATCCGATTTTTACGATTTTATTCCAGTTTTGACCCACTAGCGATTTTGAAAGTTGGTCGGACCAGATTCAACTCTGATTTCCAATTCAATCGGTTGAATCGTTTAGTTTGGTCTAGTTTTTTAAACATTGGTTTAAATGAAGGGTAAAGGGCCCAAGAAAAAATAATACTAACATGACATTCTAACACGTCTAGAGAGAGAAGTCCGAGAAGTATCTTCAACTAAATATCATTTAACTCATTTGTCATGACAGTTGGAAGAATGAGGAGCCATTATATCCACAATGATTTTCTTCCCGTCAATTATGGTTGAACTTGATGAGTCAATTCTTTTTCTTCCCGTCAATTATGGTTGAACTTGATGAGTCAATTCTTTTGAGTGATCCTTCGAATTCTTCGGACTAAAGTTGTGAAGTTGTGATCATCCTCCGTCTCTTGGTTCACCATATCTATCACAACTTTAGAGTCAATCTCAACTACTAGATTTGTAATTCTATTATGTCATGCTAGCTCAATCCCATGTATCATCGCTCACATCTCTTCCGTAAGAGCATCACATAAACAAATTTTATGAGCATATCCCCTCACCCGAATACTAGAGGAGTCTCTAAACACACCTATGCATATTTTCGTAGATGTAGACTTCTTGTAGACCACATCACAATTGAGCTTAATCTAACCACCTATCGGATGGCACAATTGAACATGTTTGATTTCTAGCTCTGGGATCCTAACTTTGTTCCGCACCCGATTATATGTATCGATTTCCTTAACCAGATACATGATTGTTCCAATTGTATTTTCAATTCGCTGAAAGTCTTCTTCAAACAATGCTTTGTTCCTCCACTTCCATAAATACCAACATTGTAACATCCTATACATATACGTCTAGAATAATATGCAGTGATGCTATAAATGGTACTTAGAAACATACAAAAGCTGGAAAAGACAAGAATCTAAAATCGCATACAAGCACAATTCGAATATCATAAAGTATACAATCAACTTGTCTTCAGCAATGCACAGCAGAAAGATAACATCTGATGAGGTCTTCCTGCCATTTGCTCGCCGCAGTCTTCAACACTGACCATCTAATAACTCTTCTACTTACAACCTGTTTCTGAAAAAATAATAAGAGGATTGGGGTGAGATTACTAAATTTCAGTGAGTCTCCCTATCTTACAGGTTCTCTCAGTTCTACAGGGTACATGCATTAAAACGGATTCACCACGAATCTAGGGTTTTCCTCACGGCTAGGTGCAAATACACAACAGAGGTACACCACCATTGGAAGTCTCATAACTATCTAATGGGGCAACAAGAAAATACAACTGGCTCAAGGCAAAAAATAATATGCAGACCCGTACCTATGTATGAGGAATCTAGAAGTAAGTTCTACCTGTCTACCTAGGCCGACCCAGTCACACCCTTGATGAGTCACCCTTGTACCTAGTTGTCAAGAGACTTGCACAAGCTCACAACATGATGAAACAGATAAATCCCAAGTGGAACTTCACCTATGACGAGTTACCTCCATGACATTGCCTAGGTGGCGTCACGACTCTGTCAATCATCCAAACACGCATAGGTAATGCCAAGTGCAAAAAGACCTTCTTGATGTACAAGCTCGTCAAGCGAAAGCCTAGTGATATAGCCTACTTGGCATCACTAGAGGCGAGTATCTGAAGTGATGTTTCCTACGTGGCATCACTAACTCACCATACTAAGCATGCAGATGAGTTACCAAGTGGAAAACGCCATAAAGACCCTCACTTGCTTCCATTGTAATGGTAACTCAGGTGTGTATGACACTCCGAGAACGTCGATGAGTTACCAAGTGGGAAACACCGTATAGACACTCACTTGCTTCCATTGCAACATAAGTGTACCCGTCAACCAGGATTTACTACATAGTAGCATAGGTCTACTTCGATTCAAGCATATCTCACACACACAAAGAACACAAAATTGACCTAAATTGGACGCCAAGTCTAGGTTTGCCCTGTCAGTACTCTGTCTTAAAGTACACAAGATTGGCCTAAACTAGACACCACGTCCAGTTTTGTCCAGGCAGTACTTTATTTCAAGCGCTTACAAAGCACAATCATATCAAGCCACCAAGGCAAACACGTATTTGAATGTTCAACTGGAACGAACGAAAACCATAGTGTTCATACAATTTATTTATCACATAATACATTTTTAACATATAAAACATAATGTATTAAGAATACATAATATCCATGAATATTGTAAAGAGCATACATAGCATTACATTAGCCATAAACATACACACAATATCATTAGCTAGCTAATAAGGCATTTCGTTCCCGATTCTGGAACAATTATGGTCTTAGGGAGGAAACTTAATGTTCTGCATTAGCATGTTCGCGAAGCGAGCCTGTAGCGAGTCATCGACTCACTCAACGAACCATTAACGAACAAAGTTAAAGACTTCAACATGTCCCGGGAAGGGACATTTACTAAGAAAACTTGCAGCGAGGTCCCGACTTGCTAAGAAAAGTTCCAACGAATAATTCTTTTCTTTCTTTTCTTCAGTCCCTGAATGTCGCTACACGAACACAGAGTTTGTTACACGAAACTTGCCGCACAACCCTTTTTCCAGCTTCAAATTGTCGCTAAGCAAACTGTAGTTCGCTAAGAGAACTTTCCTGCATTCAGAAAAACCATAAAGTGCAGAATACAAATTTAGGGTTCTCAAGTCCCAAATATTCACATGCAATGGACCTTTACCAAGATACATAATGAATTAAAGATGCATGTACTAGATATTACAAGAATAAGCCATTTTATGCATGATTAAGGATTATTAAAGAACATGTCTCTCAACCCTTATCCCAACATGCATTCATACAATACCCACAAAACCCCAAGGTTTTTAACTAAGAGACTCACCTTGCATTAATAGAGATTAGGATGTTGAACATGCTACATTAGATCTCTCATCTTGACCAAAATTCTACCTCCATCATCATCAAACTTGTAACCACACTTTGACCCATTTCCAGTATGAATTCCCAGAATTAAAATGAGTTTTTATCCTTCAATACATAATTTATTTACACGAAATCATATATCTAATCAAATGGAATTTCGTAAGCTTTCCAAAAAGTCGATAATCGGCTCAAACGGAGTTACGAGCAAGAAGTTGTTACCTGTTTTGTGGAGGTTGTCCATAGTGTGCGAAAATGGCAAGGATGATGATGAACTTCGAGTTCTCCACCTTCTCTCTCTCTCTCTCTCTCTCTCTCTCTCTCTCTCTCTCTCTCTCTCTCTCTCTCTCTCTCTCTCTCTCTCTCTCTCTCTCTCTCTCTCTCTCTCTCTCTCTCTCTCTCTCTCTCTCTCTCTCTCTGCCTCTCTCTCTCTCTCTCTACTCTCTATTCCTAAATCTGATTGGGAAATGTCTATCACCAAACAAGGCCTTAAAATACATTCAACATATTTAATGACCAAATTTCCCTTTATCCATGTTAATATTACTAGCTTGCCATCTTGTCCAATTCCAACTAATCAACTTAATCTCTTACTCTACATATGAATTCTCATACTAATAAAATAGAGATGTTACATTCTCCCCCCCCCCCCCCCCCCTAAATCAAAATTTCCCTTGAATTCCTTCCAATCACCATGACAACAAGTTCCTCACATCTTCTTCCAACAAGGAGACGAAATGTTCCTTACATTCTTTCGTAACATTCTTGACTGGAAACCTTAATCCTTACGCAAAACATTTCTCCTACCACTATATCCTGACATACTTGAGAAATGATCTCCCCGGGTCTCCAGCCCTTACTCCTTCGCACTGAGTTTATGTAGCTTCAAAATTCTTGGCAATCTATTATGGTTGGATCCTCGTCCCCAACATTTTCCAAGCTCATCCTTGCTCAACACCTGCCACTTCTCTTCCATTAGCTCCTTGCAATACCTCAAATCCATACATTTTTGTTGTAGCATCTCTCTCCATTGACAACATTTCAGA